AATGATCAATTTAAAATGTTATTTTTTGGAAAGTAGGTAAAACTTTAAGGTCAAGGTCTCACTTGGGTTAAAAAATCATAGTATATTTAGAAAGTTTTGTGGTAATGTGCATGTGAAATATGAAAGCACTATCTCTTATCATTCAAAAGTTATGACCAAGGTTAAATTTATTGTGACAGATGCACATACTAGCTGTCAATAAGATGGACAGACTGACAGACAAATGAGATTTAGTGTCCCCTCCCTTTCCCCAAAATGGGGGACAAGAATGCCCTTGCTGTTCTTGAGAAGAAGATTTATGATGGAAAAAATCCCCTGCATATTTCTTAACGCAAATCAATATTGTGTTTTTATGTCATTTTGTTTGTTGTTAAACATCCCTCTCAGGAATTTTTCACTCATATGGAGACACCACCATTTGAAAAATAATGAGGACAAGTTAGATTTGAGGTCAACATTCATTTTAGGAGTTTTCAACCATTAAGACGTAAAGAAATATTAACTCGATCCTTCCCCTCACCCCTTCCCAGACCCCTGTTTGTTCATGTATGCAAAAAAAAAAAATGTTTATACAAATAGTTTAATGTGGTCCATCTCTGAATGATTCTCATTCCTAATTCTAGGAAGATATGTTGACACAAATTCATGAATAAAATGTCAAGTAATCTTATCATTGATGCACTTTTATTTAATTTAAGGCAGTCATATTGTGAACATTTCCAGCTCATTAGGAGAGTGAGGATGACCTCTAGGGGTTCATAACCTTTATACCATTAAATTTACATAACATAATAACACAAGAAACAATATTATGTATAGTCAAATGGAAAAAGTTTCCTACTATTTAGGAGTCACATGATCATTTGTCATTACAGGGACAGGGAAGTGGATTGGGAGATCCCCTCAACACCCCCCCCCCCTTCCCCCGGAATTTGCAGGACTATAATATATACTGGAGGAAATAAAAATGACTTTGGATGCCCTAAGTGTCCCTCCACCCTAGAAAACAGACCAAACCATAACTTCTTTTTTTTCTTGCTTCTCAGGAAATTCTGGTCTGGAACCCCCCCCCCCCCTCTCCCTCCCAGAAAAAAAATTCTGGATCTTGTAACTGAATGTAACGTTGATAACGGGGGATAACTCTTCAGAATGTGAAATTCGTCTATTGTAGCATCGGATGACCTTTGATCCTTTAAACTTTAACCTAACCGTTTGCATTTCAGACTATTTTACCCAAATCTATACCAAAACTTGTACTTACCGATTGTTATTATTTAGGCCCTGTCATCTTCATGAAATATAATCCAGTTAAAACACAAAATGAAATAATTCCTACCGACATATATGCAATGATGCACACTAGTATCCTACTGCACGTGCAGTGAAATCTAAAATGATAATGCCAATGGTAAAACTAGTACTTAAGTTGGGTACGTGACGCAAGCCAAATGTGATGCAGGTGTTTAGATACATGTATAGTGCAAGAACAAATTGAAAATTATCATTTACAAAAGATGTTTTATTTTAGCTTTGCAATCTAGGCCTATTTGCAAAAACAGACAAATAAGGTGTGTTTGTGTGTGTGTGTGTTGATGGGAGATGGGTGGGGGTGACCATTAAATTGATTGTGTATATGGCAGCTTTCAAGAAGTTTCTGCCTAATCAAATATAAATAAACTTTGCACATATTGAAAAATTCATCAAAAACGCTTTACACTAATTTGAATAATATATTATTTGTTGTTAATCTATATGAGAAAATAGATTTAAAAAGTTCCAATTATGTGCCAAAAATCCTACCCCCCCCCCCCCTTTATCAAACCTAATTTACATCATTAATTAAATTCTGTAGTTTAATTTCCGACTGGTAATGAATTAAGAATATGAAATACCTATAAAATGGAGGCCCATGGGTCACATGGTCACTAGCTGCAGATCTGTAGCATTATGGTTTTATATATTAGTATTTGACTGCAGATCCTGTAATGCAAAAAAGGTGCAATTTACGGCGCAATATTTTTTGCGCACTTCTGGGGAGAATTTCTCCACTTTCCAGCATCGGTCAATTTACTACCTATCAATTCCTAATTTTAGGCACATTATTTAATCAATCTGTATATTTTATCCATCTCCCAACCCTTTATAGTCGTCTCTACTCGAGATAAACTCGATTAAAATTATTTGTTAGATTGCTGAAAATTCACATCAAGCGAGTTTATTGCCTGTAGAGATTACTATAAATGGCTTGGAGGTGGACAAAATATACATATTGGTCAGAGAATGTGTCCAAAATTAGGGAGTGAAAGGTAGTTGATTGACTAATGCTAGAAAGTGGAGAAATTCTGCCCAAAAGTGCTAAAAAAAATATTGCGTGTAAATTGCACCTTTTTTGCATATGGGGATCTGTAGCGTTATGATCAAAGACAAATATATAAAACCAGATCTGCAGCTACATGGTCACCTGAGCATATTATGCTCAATTTGATGAATACATGTATTATGTAAATTATTGAATTATATTGACTTTTTCCTTGGTAAAGCCCAATATGAAGAAGTGTGCATTAGAGGCAAACACCATAGAGGCAAACGTCAAGTCATAAGTTTTGTGAAAATCCCGGAATCACTCTATCTAAAATGCGTATATTATTGACATAGACTGGGGGAAAATACATTCAGTCACTGGTTTTACAGTGTCATAAAAAAGTGAAGAAAAATAGAACTTCCATGGACGTTGATTCAAGGTGTGGCCACCTTTTTGAGGCTCTCTTTTAAGTGTTTATCCCCCTAGACAAATTAATGGTGACAATAGACGTTCTCGGCTGATGTACTGTTCTTGACATTGCTAATAAAATCAGAACATTATATGGAAACATGGGGGATGTTTTGAAATATAAGTGAAAAATGAAGATAAATTGGTGCGAGAGGATACCCAGGCTTTTCATGAGGAAGAAAATATAGAAAAGGGCAGCATTTTGTTGAATTACATGTTCGCATTGGACATTACAGTGAGATGCTTCTATAACGTGATGTGACCTACCCTACTTGACGTTACGTCGAAGTCTCCCCCGGGTTTCACAACTATCATTTTCAGAAAGCTCGTGTGACCTTATTTGTGAATGGGACGTGGTGAAATTTTCCAGTATTGTTGCAATATGACTCTATTTTATAAATATGCCTATTGTTTGTTTTTATAAAATCACGATAAAATTTTAGAAAGAAATTCCACGAACTTTTGGATCAACCCTCGTACATGTAATTTCTTTAATTACTTTTCTCTATCATTAATATGACCCCCCAAATATGTTTCAATTTATTAGGGTCCATTTATTATGCAAATTGAGATATTTACACTTTCTGAGGCTGTGTTTGTACTTTTATGTGAATGACAAGTTTATATTATCAGGGCCATCAAAATCTTTCAGTACCTGGAACTATTACCTGGTTGAAATCAAAGTTGTACGACCCAAATATCAGAGGGAAAAAGATCAATAACATTCGCCATCAAAATCACTTCTATTTTAGAGAAAAAACCACATGTTTTTGTTCATCTTTCTGAAAATTTTGATTTATTCACCACAAAAAAAATACTCCTGGTACTGCTTTTTCAATAATGTATATACATTTTATAAAAAGTGATAATACAAGTACATGTACAATTCAGACAGAAAATAAATTAAACAAATGACAAAGTTGTAAATATATCAAGAAGGACAGAGAAGCATCATTAATTTTAACATCCAGCATATAATTTTTTCCCTTAGGATTTTTTAATTTTAAGTTGACATTAACTTAATGTACTTAATCCTACTTAAGTAAATTTTTTATATAAACATAAATAATATTAAATATAAATAATAAAATTTCTTTCTTTTATGTATCACGTATAAAATCATGTTTCACATGATTCTCTGTGCTTAAAGTGATTATTTGAACTATTGAGCTGATTTAAGTTAAATGTTACTTTTAAGTTAGAAAGCAGAAAAAATTTTGGTTGCATTTAACATGGTTCAGAAATGGTTCACAAATGTTTACAAGTTGTGTAAGGTAGTATTTGAGCACATTCTAGCTAAGGGAGGGTGTTTGATAAGAGGGGGGTTGGAGACTACCAGTTTGGTAATCTTCTTACAGAGGGGTGTTAATACTGACAAGACTTTAATGTACGTATCTACTGTGATTTAATGGTCTATCTGCAGCTGGTTATGATGTAATAATCTTTGATTAAAAAAAATTAGATTCTTTTGATATAATCATTCATTCTCAGAAAAAAATGTATGGTTGAAAAAACATTAGTTGAAAAAGTTTATTTCTTTCTTAATAGCTGGTTAGAATGTGCATATCAATTTCTGCTACAATTGATTCACTATATTATATATATATATATATCCTCAATGTTTTTAAAAAAGCACCAGATTTAGCAGTCAATGTTACACTGGTTTCTTATCCATTGTACTATCTATGTTATAGACTGCATTTCATTTCAGGAATTTTTTGAAATTTTTCTTTTCCGACATTTTAAAATTTACATCTCCGACACATTTTTCAGGTAGTATGATTTTTTGCAAAATTCCGGAAATGAAATGCAGTGCTGCAGCCTGCTATAAAATCATGTTTTATTACTATCACAGTGTCAGATGTGGAATAATAATAAATTTTGAACATCAGCTTTGAAAAAGGATGAGTTACAAGCTTTGAAAAAGAGTTGTACATGTACTTCATCATATCTATGGCAAGCCAAGATTTTCAATCTCCAACAAAAACTAAGATTCATTTCCTTAAATATTTACCCTAAGGAGTATACAGCAAGGGATCTTTAACATATGTGTTCTTTCAGAAAACATATTTCTGAGACCACAATTTTAAGTTCAACCTGTCTTAAAACAGGGACAGTGTTGCTGAGGAGCCAGTATATTCTTGTTATGATTCGTAATTATACAACAATAGGCTTACGCACATAGAAAAATATAAACTATGTGGTAAACCTGTGTTTTATTTGTCTACAGATTGTGGTGTCCCTTATAAACAACCGTCCTAATGCCCAGAACTTCACCTACGCCAACCAGCTACAACAATGGACGAAGGCGACCAACGTCCGACTCAAGCTGCTGAGGACTAAGACATTACTGGGGCATTTAATGGCTGTAGCTAGACAGGACCCCACCGTCACTCGCAGGGTAATAAACCATCCAAAATTCTGTACTTGTCAAAGTCCATGGAAAAATTTACTTAAGAGATTGAAGACTTTATCAATACATGTTTTACAGAAATAAGATAAACTGAAATGCAGGAAAATTTGAGTAAGGCTTTCTGGGTTTTTTCAGTATTTCTACAGTATAAAGGATATTTCCATCGGGGGTAGATGTGTGTGTAATGGCCATGCCAACACGTGTGATAGGAGTGACTCCAGCAACCCTAACCTACTGGTGTGTGCCTGCCAGCACAATACGTGCGGAAACCAGTGCGACTCCTGCTGCCCTGGGTTTGTACAGAAGAAATGGAAACCTGCCCGGGCTGACAAAATCTTCATGTGTGAACGTAAGACATTTCATACCTTTCATGAGTAGCAATAACACAATAGTTTCTGAAATAATGCTTAAATTGTGAAAAATTTAATTGTTTTGAATTGTTGTCATTTTCGTTGTCCAGCTTGCCAGTGTTACGGCCATTCTACGGAGTGTGTCTATGACGAGGAAGTAGATCGCCTCGGTCTTAGTGTTGACACGTACGGTAACTACGAGGGAGGCGGAGTCTGTCAGAACTGTCAGGTCAGCGGACATTTCCATTGCTTGTCATTTTTGTTAATAACCATTCATTAAAATTTTTTTAAATGTTAATTTACCATATTCTATTGAATATGAAATCTTAATGAAAGATTTTGAAGTTATTTGAAAAAACTCAACTTTTGTTGTATTTAAGGCAACATGTTAGTTTGAATTATGTTTACAGACCAAGTTGTGAAATTAATAAAAACAGCTCTATTGAAAAAGAATTAGATGAGTCAAAATGTTGGTTTGATGATCTGATCTTTTATTTACAGCATAATACATACGGTGTGAACTGTGATAAATGTGTAGCTGGCTATTACAGACCTTATGGTGTGGCAAAGAATGACACAAATGCTTGTAGACGTAAGTGTTAAAACAAATGTCATAATGCTTTCATACATCAGTGGTTGTTAGTAGATGTGTAATGATGACCTCTTTCACCTTTAACCTTCAGCCTGTCAATGTGACCTGAATGTGTCCACTGGTGAGTGTGAGGAGGGGTCAGGACGATGTCTTTGTCGAGTGGAGTACACCGGCCTCAACTGTGACAGGTTAGTGATGACATTTCGATGACTGTGCTATCAGTATGTAAAATAAATCGGCATGTTAAAGGAGAGATAAGCTGAATTTGAATAATTAACCATTGAATAAAATTGACATCTGTCACACTGGTATATTTGTTTTTACATAAGAACAAAAAAATTCAAAGGAAATAAGCTTATAGGATTATGCTTAACATGTATGTTTTAATACAAGGTAAACATACTTACTTGTATACTTTAATCTAGATGTGCCCCTGGGTATGAGGGCTACCCCACTTGTGTCCCCTGTCAGTGTCACATGAACGGTACAGAGGGCGCTGTCTGCTCCGTGGATGGCCTCCCTTGTCCTTGTAAGGAGAATTACGCTGGAAACCGCTGTGACATGTGTGCCTCTGGATACTACAACTTCCCAGAATGCACTCGTAAGTTTACTTCTTGTCATTATCCATGATTGATAGACTAGTTACTAATCTAACTTTTTTAACTGATGAGAACATTGACTCTCAGCTGACTTTGAGTACATTTTCCTCCATTTTTAGCCTGTCAGTGTGATATGACCAATGGAGGCTCCACTGACAATAACTGTGATGTGGAGACTGGGCAATGTACCTGTCAATCAAACTTTGCCGGCAAGGAGTGCAACCAGTGTGCCCATGGCTACTACAATTACCCAGCATGCACTGGTAAAGATCATTAAGTTTCATGATAGTAAAGGTTTATCTTTTATTGAGAATTTTCTTTGTCATAAATATTTAAACATGGACATAAGAAATTGTTAGATGCATTGGAGTATAGGTCTCTCTGACCATACATGTACATGTATATCTGCTGCATTGAGGTTTCTGTGTATTTGTAGTGTGTGACTGTGACCCCTCGGGAACCTCTGAGGAGATCTGTGACAAACAGACCGGTCAGTGTTTGTGTAAGGAGAGCTTCCAGTACCCTCGCTGTGATC